CATATTCGAATTTTTAATGTAAATATAATTATAGTTGAGCACTATCACGATCACTTACTAATCATCGAATTTGACACTTTAAATTTTAGTTATTCAGAGTAACTCTGTAAAAAAGGTAGTTTGTACTACTATATTTTATAGTAATTCAGCTTAATATTCAATCAAAATTTTATTCCTGATCCATTGAGTGAGGTACTTGAGAATACTTTAAATCCAAACTCTAATTTTGAGAAAAACAAGATCCACTAGTCCTGAGTAACTAGAGTATGGACAGACTAATAATTAGACTAACCACAAGCTTGGTTTTAAAGTTATAACTAATTATTAACCAATCCCATGGAGAGGCAACGATTTTTTGCAAAAATTATTACTTTTGATTCTATATTTAGTTAGACAAGAAAAATGCCTGTACCTTTGCTAATTTAGTATGATTGTTTAGCTATATTAGTTACAACTAGTATGTATATATATATGATAAAGTATGCATGTGAATATAGTTATTGTATGATGAATGCAAGGTACCAGATTTTGGTTTCTATATTATAATATGTATAAGTAAGCAGTTTCTTATCATATAGACACAAAATAAGTTCATAAGTATTATTTTACAAATCTGAACCCTCTAGAATAGCATATGCAGTCTCGAATTAGCGCCTATGGGCATATTAACACATATCTCAATATACTCTTATATAAACAAAAAGTGCTCTGAAACTATGTTTGGTACTAAATATACTTATTTTTGAGTTCTAACAAAAGTTGTTCTTCATATTAAGACAATTCTTGTTAGAGCTCAAAAATAGGCTTACTTAGCTCTAGAGCATGTTTTCAAATCTTATTATGATTAAAGAGAATGCGATTTAAAAAATCAGCCCTTATTTGAAATAACGCACATGGGCTTACTTGAAATCACATATAGGTTAATTATTTAACGTGTAAATGGGTGTTATTTCGTGTCTATGCAGTAATATTAAGTAATAATGATTTTCTTCTTAATAGACTTAAATGAACCTTATATTCAAGACTGGGTAATAATAGTATTTACTTTGTATATTATGCAAAAGATAAAAAATACATGCTTTTTTATTTAGTTATAATACATTTTTAAAATAAATAAGTTTAAAGCATTCTTACAGAGAGTATAGTTGAAATTCTAGTTTTTGAACATATGTAAAGTATATATAAAAAGTATATATTTAATTTCAAATTTTGAATTTAAAACTAAACCGTAATATATATACAGTATATATTTAAAAGAATGCGCATTTAGTATATTTAAATCACAAAAATTTTTCGTTTGATATTTACTTTATATAATTTATATCTTTTATGTCTTTGTTTGAAGATTTAAGTGTAGATAATTTAAATTCAGATTCTTTAAAACCAGTATATAATTTAATTGAACTGGGATTAGAAGAATATGAAGAAAATGAATTAGTTCTTGACACAGTTCATGATTTAATGCAATTTTTTAAAAAATAATCAAACTGCACATGCCGTCATACATCTAAACAAAGAGATTTAAGAACCTGTTATGAAAAAATCAGATTTAAAAATTTTTTTGAAAGATATTTTCAAATAAGAGCATTAGTAAAATCAGAACTTGTGTTATTTTTAAAAGCACAATTAATGGCCTTTGAAATTATTGTATTGTCAAAAGTGATTATTTTTTTGCCGATATTGTATAATTTTTTTTGTGCAGTTAGAGATATTTTTTTACTATTTATTTCTTGATTTTTGGTATTTATTGTGTTCAAAAATCTTTTATTCACAACTTTTTGGTCTTTATCTTCTTTGTCTTTTTCTTTTTTTTTGTTTTTAAATTTTCTAATATCTTTGTCTTTTCTTCTTGTAGATTTATCGAAAAACTATTATCTTTTTGCTTTGTCTGTTTCTTTTTTATTTATCTTATTATTATTCAAAAGTATGTATATTTGTTCTGGCTGTATGCTATAGTCTTATTTAATTTAGATATACAGAGTTCAGCCAGTTTTCTACTCTAGTATACTATATAGTTAGCCTAAATAGATATTTTTCTCTTTGTTTTTTTTTTTATTTTGGTATTTATGGTCTTTTATATAAGTAAAAAAGGAACTTATCTTTATTAATAGAAAGTAATAAACCTTGCTTATTGTATTCTTGCAATAAAGGTCTTTTTAATTGTTTTTTTATCATTTTCAAGTTATGTATTTAAGAATTTATAGTTTCTAATTAAGGTTTAATTTTAAATATCTTGTTGTAATAATAATAGTTTAGTTTATTGTCACTTAGTGACTTTAAATAACCAAGTGTAAATTTGAAAACTAAAGTAGCTAAAAGAAATTTTTCAGTTTTAGAAGTAGCAAGAAAAGTGATTTTTTAAGAAGCTCAGTTTTAGAAAATTATTATCAAAAAAGATAGATTAAGAATTAGAGTAGCAAATTTAAAAAAAGAGATACAAAAATTAAAGAGGAGGGTTTAGAAAAATAATAATAAAAATTATTTTGTAATATTTTGTAAATAGATAATAAATAAAATTTTAAAAAATTTAACTAATTGTTTTTTTTCCTAAGGCAATCTGTTTGCTTTATTTGTGAGAAGAAACCTCGATAGTATGAGGCATATACTAATTACAGAATTTATTATTCTCAAACCATCAGCTAAACTACCCAAGCTAGCTACATAGTTGCCGAAGCTTCTACTTGCAGTCAGGGCGAACCATTAAACTGCTAATGCTTTATGCCCAAGTTGACCTGCCTGAGCAAACCCTTGGCCTCCTCCAGAGGTCTGAAACTTGCTTCAAACTTTTTTTCTTCAGAATCCTTGACTAGCAGTTTGCGAGCTATGTCAAGATTCCCACCCTACAATAGAATGCCGCCAATCTGATAACACTTTCTCGTAGGGAAAAAAAAAGAAAAAAAATTTTTGAACAAAAACAAAAAGGGGAAAACAAAAACAAATACATATACAAAAATGGGTACTAATATAAAAGGAATTTAAAAACTAATTTAAAAATTTATAAGAAACTATCACTAGAATAAAAAAAACCTGCTAACTAGATAAAAACTTTATCTATACAGAGTAATGAACTACTCATATTGACTTGTTGCAAGAAATTTGATATACTGAAAAAGAGAAAAGAAAACTAATATGCACTATAACAGGACACCAAAGAATATATATAATACTAAGATCTGATTTTGTATAGACTTTCTATATAATTTTTCAATACATCATATGTTTAAATTTGTATAACCAACTAGTAATTTTTTTAAAAGTCAGATGCTTATTTGTATAACAAAGATGATCTTTATAACAAGTTAGATCTTATTTTATATAATGATACTATATATATATATATATATATCAATATATATTTTATTTTTTAAAATAAATACACAATTATATATGATTCGAAGTGCTAATTTTTATATTGAAAAAAAAGTAAGTAGGTTTAAATTCATAAATTTATCAAAAATTGCAAATAGCTAATAGGGGATTTGTTTATAAAGGTTTATTGTAATTTTCTTTTTTTTGTAATAGTCTTATCACTGTCTTTACAAGACCTGAAATAGACAAATTAAATAAAGTAACAGATAAGGTTTAAATTTGCGTATTTTTTTAAATTTCGAAATTTTAAATATAAAAGTTCAATTTGTGTATTTTTATTATATATACTATATGTTTTGTAGTATATATAATAATGATAATATGCTAATTATAGAATTTTGTCTTTATATATATCAATATAAGAAAATTCATGTTGATGTGGTTATTAAGAAAATTTATCAATCTGTATTTAAGATACGTAAGCTATTCGGGTTCATGATTATTTATTATTTAATTTTATTTTGTTCTAAGCATTTAAAAATTACTCAAGTTCATGAATATGTTCACTTTAATTTAATGCATAACTATAAATAAAAATTATTAATCTAGTATTTAAGATAAGCCATTCAGATTCATGACTATTTACTATTAAATTTTATTTTGTTTGCACTAGTAAGTATGATAAAATTTTATTAATCTGAGTATTCAATATGTTATTTAAGTTTATTTAATATTTACTATTTAATTTCATTTTATTTGCTTTAATTTAGTATATGTGCTGTAAAGAAAACTTTTCTATGTATTCAAGATAAGCTATTCGGGTTCATAACTATTTACTATTTAATTTTATTTCATTTGCATTAATTCAGATGAGTATTATAAAAAGTTTAATCTAAGTATTTAGGATAAGCTACTCAAGTTCACGAATATTCACTATCTTAACTTTATTTTGTTTACTTTAATTTAATATGTGGATATAAATAAAATATATCAATCTATGTGTTTAAGATAAGCTATTCAGGTTCATAACTATTTACTATTTAATTTTGTTTTGTTCGTGTTAATTCAGGTGAATATGATAAAAATTTCTAGTCTATTTAAAATAAGTTACTCAAGTTCATGAATATTTATTATTTAATTTTATTTGTTTAATGTAAGCATTTAGAATAAGCTACTCAAGATCATGAATATTTACTATTTAATTTAGTATGTAATTATAAATTTATATTGTTCATGTTAATTCAGGTGAGTATGATGAAAATTTTAATCTAAATATTTAGAACAAGCTATTCAAATTCATGATTGTTTACTTTAGTTTAGTACATGATTATAAAAAATTTATCTATCTATGTGTTTAAGATAAGTTATTTGGGTTCTTGACTTATTATTGAATACATTAATTTAGGTAAGTATGATAAAACTTTTAATCTAAGTATTTAGGATAAGTTACTCAAGTTCGTGAATATTTACTACTTTAATTTCATTTTGTTTGCTTTAATTTAGTGTGTAGCTATAAAGAAAATAAATCAACTTACATCTTTAAGATAAGCTATTTGGGTTTACAACTATTATTATTTAATTTTTATTTGCGTTAATTCAGGTGAATATTATAAAAATTTTTAGTCTAAGTGTTTAAAATAAGTTGACGAAATCATACAATGATCGATTATAAATCAAACTATGACGTATATATGTCATGTACTCAAGGGGTATATATATTGATCGTATGAAGTTTTTTTTTAATTTTTGGTTTCGCTATTGCTCACTTTATAATATTAGGCTAGCTTTCTCGTTTCGAGTTATTTTTCATAGAAGTCACAGCTCCAAGACTATGGTAATATAGCTCAAGGACCGTTTGATAGTGAAAGGCTCTATGACTGCTTAGTATGCAAAAATCTTATGATTTAGTTATTAAGTCTCTACGCAGTATAGGCAGTGTAAGTGTAATCATAAATGCTAAACAGGAATTAGAGATGCTTCAAATATTAAGTGCAGTGTAAATGTAAGTACAGTAAGACTTGGTTCTATTAAATTAGTCTCCAGTTACTAATGATACTCCTCAAACCGCTATTGTAAGTAACATTCTAAGTGAAAAAATAGTGGATAAAGAATATGACAATATAAATCGTATTCAAATTGCAAGCAAAGGAGATAAATGTGGCAAGATCGTATTTGAATTTAAACAAAAAAGAATTTAATAGAGTAGTAAGAAAATGACTTCACAAGAATAGTGAATATCATGCCAAGGAGATTTGAAGTGAACTATATTTCCATATGTTTATTTCTATGTATTTACCAAACGAAAATAATCAAGCAATAATAAAATTTTTAATTTAACCATTTAAAATAAGCTACTTAAATTATAAGCTTGTATTGGGAATTATCGTAAAAAATTCTATTGCTATTTTAGTAACACACACAGTATGCAGTTAAAGTCTGTTATGAATTATTGTTAGAACTTGCTTACTAATAAAATAGTTTGCATTAAAATTTTTGTGATTTCTATTATAAATTACTGCTATTCCAGTATGATTAAATTTATACCAAATTCAATTTTTAATTAAGATATTACGCCATTGCGATATATAATATTTATAGCAATTAGATGCTATACCGTAATTCATTCTACTATATCAGATATAATACACTGTAATGCTATAATGCCATAATGCTATAATGCTGTAATTCAATAATTCTACCACCAACCATATACATACCAATACAAAAATTAGTAAAAACCTTAAAAGTTACCTTGTCTATATACATATATTTCAGAAATTCTATAATTAGTATATGATTCATAGCTTTTTTAGTTTAGTTTATTTCTCTTTTGTACGTAAATAAAAAAAAATTTAGATCAGAAAAAAAAAGATCAAAAAAAAATTATCGTATATTTGATATTTTTCTCTTAGAAAATACCACTACCTTGGAAATATAGTAAAGAGAGACTTGCAAAACATCCATATTGCATCTATATAGTTCAAATAAAAAAGGTTATTTGTCGTTGTGATAAAGTTATCAAACTTGGTCATCGTTATAATGAACCTTTCTTAAATATTCATGTTAATGGTAAAGGATATTTAGCTAAGCAAGGAGTTCGATCAATTCTAAATTATTTTAAACTGATCTCTAAATCAAAAAAAATTAAAAGTGATGATTGTGTTAGCAGTGCTGAAGAGTGGAAAAGTGATGATGATAAAAATATGGATAATGATGATTTGTTTAAAATTGATGAAATAAGTGATATAGAAAATGATTGTGAGAGTGAAGTTTTAAGTGACGATAATATGATAATCCCATCAAACAATAAATAGAAGCCTTGCTCTGGTCTTAGATCTAGTATTATCTATGAATATATTAGTTATACTCCTGCTCAGTTTGGTAGAACTAGAAAAATTGAAATTATTGCAAAAAAATTTTTCCAGATCTTTTTCTAAAAGAATTTTCACGTAAGAAGTTGGATTGTTTACAGAAACGTCAGTTGAATCGTTAATTGTATGCAAAAGCAGTATAGAAAATTGATCGTGATTGTAAATTAATATTGTTTTTAGTTGTATAGTGATATATATAAGAAGGTTTAATTAATTATTTTTTTAATTCAATCAAGATAACTGTGTTTGTTCTATAGAGTATGAGAGATTTACTAATCAAAATATCAATCTTAGTTTAAAAGGCAATAAACTTTTACAAAATCAAATTGCTAAAGTAAAACCATCTACTTTGAAACTGAAATATACTCCGAAATATTATTTTGAAAATGATCCACTAAAAAATTATCTAAAATATTCTGACCTTACTGAAATTTGGTTGATAATCAAAGATAATGAATCTAATACAGCATCTGATGTTTGGATAAAATTGGCAGAAAAAGGCATTCAAGGGACATTTAATAAAAAACCAGTTTTTAAAGATCTTAGTAATATCATATTACAAGCTGTAATTTGAAAAGAAAAAAATATATCCACAAGAAATTTAAAATATATTGATGAGTTTAAAAATTTTCTTGTAATTCTTGGTACCTATAGTTCATGTGTATTAGATTTATTCCAGCAAAATTTAGAAGGGTTAACAATTTAAAGTATTAGGTATAAAAATTATTTATTATATATTTATTATAGAGATTAAACCTGGGTAGAAATTGTTACTATATGATTATCCAAAAATATAATAATTTACTTGAATAACCCGGGTAATTTAATAATACTTGGGTAAAGATTTTCTTAATGGGTTTAATCTCTAGTTTATTGTATATTAAATTTATTATAACAATAATTTTTATTTTTAGATACTATCGCTCTAATTCTGAAAACATGTTAATAGATCCAATTCTTTGTTTTAAAAATATAGCTTGGTTCAAACGATTTTTGGACTCTATTAGATATGATGGCCCAATTGTAGCTATGACCGATAATACCAAACTGAAACCATATCTTAGATATTCTTCACGAATGGGATGCATTATTGGTTTTACATTTTCAAATCATAAGACAAATATTAAAACATATGATGATATTTCGGTTACAATTAATAAAATTAAAGAGAATAATGCTATTGCTAAATATGTAAGAGTATATATATTACAAGTAAGTTAAAACTATAATTGATATATTAGTATTAATACAGAATAATAACTAACATTATATATTAGGTTCCATTACCAAAATTTCCTTCTGTTATTATTGCTCTTCTTTCTAATCTTGGATCTGATAAAACAGAAACAATATTAGATATACATAAATTACTTTTAGATTTTGTACAAGAACTTAAGCTACATATTATTTCAATTAGTTCTGATAGTGCACAGGTTGAATTTAATGCGCAAACTCAATTTCAACAAATATCAACTCCTAGTAGACTTAGAATTAGTTATAATCTATACAATATTGATTTTAGTTGTCTGATTTTTCTAAATATTGGACCAGTAATACGAGTTCAGGATCCTAAACATGAAAAAAAAACATGATGAAATATAGCAATATCAGGAGCTCGAGTTCTTACACTTAATCATACTACTGTAGGATTTGGCTATTTTACAAAATTGCTTACTCATCCTGAAAGTCCTATGTATAAATTTGATATATATAAACTTGACTGACAAGATAATAGTGCAGCTTATAGAATTTTTTGTCCTAAAAATCTAATATGCTGTCTTGATTCTAATAATGAAATCAAACCTGAATATGAAGAAACATTTATATATCTATTTATAATTGGTAAGCTTTTAAAAATTTTATAATAAAAATATAAATTAAAATTAATTATCTTTTATTAATAAAGGAGAATTAGTTGATAGTTATTTAAATCGAAATATTACTTCTATTGAACGAATAAAAATGGTGATGATATTTTATTTTTTTTTACGAATTTGGAGATTTCATATAAATATATTAGCACGAAAATACCCTGAGTTTATTTCTGCCAACCAGAATTTTATTGCACCTCAAATATTTGCAATACTTATTTCATTAGCTGAATCAATGGTTTTACTTGTAAAAGCTTATAAAGATTTCTATAATCAATATCCACTTGTTTCTTGGATATATGGTTCAGAAGTATGTGAGCATTTCTTTGGTGCTGCACAACAAGTTAATGCAGATTTTGATTTTGCGAAGTTGTTAGAAATGGTACCAAAAATAGATCATTATACTAAAGCATTAAACTCAAAAGAAATATCTTTTAATAAAGATAAATCTGTACGTAAAGGTAAATAAACTAATTTTTTATATATTACAATTTATATTAGCATATAACTAGCATATATAAATTATTTATTTTAGGATATCAGTTTGAATATAATCAAAATTTTATCAAAAATGATCAAATTAATTTATTATAAACCTGGCCAGATAATAATTAAATTTTAAATATATTTGATCAATCACATCAAATAGCATGTAATCTTGCTAAATATTTGGGAATATTAATACTTGATATTATATCTATTAATTCACTTCGGCTATATGTTTTAATAACATCTAACGATATAGAAGTTTCTGGCTCAAATGATGAAAATATACAGGATGATAAGAATCTAAATGAAAATATATCTAATTACAATTATTCTCAAATAATTAGTTGTGCTGCTAAAGAAATAGATCTTTTAAAACAGAAAGAAAATGAAAGAGATAAAATAGATATAAATGAAGAAAATGAAAATTTAGATAAATACAAGAAACAACTTTCTTTTATTAATATGGTTGAAATAGAAACTTCAAATAATACAATTAGCACAGGTTACTATAATTTATAATATAATTTAAACTTTTTTTTTAGAAAAATCTAACAAATTTTTTTAAAATTTAAGGTTTTGATAATGTGATATTTGCTACTAAAAATAGAATCAATTTTCAAGAAATGATTTATCAACATGAAAAGCATAATGCTTATACTTTTCGTAATATTGAACAGACAGCTAAGACAAATAATACAAGAATAATTAATTTAACTTCAATTAATCCAAATAAAACAAGTTATATTGTTTTATTATTTACTAAAAATGCAAATGCTAAAATGCGATTTATAAAACAACGAGAAAAAAGATGGAAAAATGATCAAAAAGTTATAAGCCAATCTATTGCCAATCTTTACAAAAAGAAACAGTTAAATAAACAACAAAAAACTTTATTTAGTAATCAAAATTTAAATAAGTTTAAATTAAATTATTTTTTCTATAATCATAATTACTTAAATTTTAAATTTTTTAAATTAATAATTTTATAGTTAAAAATACAAATATTAATCATAACAATCCTCTTAACAAACAAGATTATGTTATAGCTTATTATAGAATACAACTTTGTATTGGACAAGTAATTTCTAGTTTTTATGAAGCATATAGATATCATTCTTATAACCAGGAACCAATTACTAATATTGAAAATATATCATATTTAACTCTTAAAGTTTTTACTCCTATTCATAATATTTTTTTAGCTGAAATAGAAGAAGATCATGTTTTAATTATATATCAATATCCAAAAAATATTCTTTATTGTTTAGATATACAAGATATACAAAATTTTGATAATACTTTTCAATTATTAGAAAAAGCAAAAGTCTGTTATAATTTTTTTAAAAAAGAAGAAATAGTTCATATAATTAATATGCATAATAATTAAATGTTAAAGAAATTAAATAAAATTATCTTTGATTTTATATAAACTTAAATCTAAAATTGTATAATTTATAATAAAATTTGAACTTATATGATAATTTTGTATAAAACTTTTAATAAAATTATATGTATAAAGTTATATTAAAATTTTAAATCTGGATGTAAGTTATATATATATTCTTTGGGATTCTACTATAACTCGTGTTAGAGGATAAAAATTATATATATATGACTATAGGAATGTCTGTATATCTCACTTCACTTTGCTTCTTCTTTCCGTAATAAATCTATATCATCATCCGAAAGTATATAAGAACTTTAAAGCTCTATGCCTATATTGCACATCATCAGCAAAATTTTTAAGCAGATATATATCGATATATAGCAGTTAATCGATATATATCAATTAAAAATTATCAATATATATC